CACTATGACCACCCTCATCACCACCATCATCACCATCGCAACTACCACCACCACCACCTTTGCAACCACCACCACCCCTCCTCCTCCTCCTCCCCCACAATCACCACCACTAGACCTTAGGCTTTTGGATACAGTATGATGTTTTTCCACTTCTCGTACCTCTTTCAAAATCAGGCGGACATTGGACATGACCAGCAGCGTATTTTCTACAGATGTTCATCCCCTTTTTTTACTGGCGGAGGAGATCGGCACACCACAGTTGTGGCCTGCGACTCCACGGCCTAGAGCACGTGCTATTTCCCTGCCTTGATGGTCCTTTTTCGGTTTTTGCTTCAGCCAGACACTGTTCACCTGGCAGGACGCATACTGGATCCCTGAGGCGTCGTTGCTCCTCATGGCCACCGAGCCTGAGAAGGCTGGCAGGACCCTTATTGGATTCCAACAGACTCGCTGGAGCTGATGAGAACAGAGCCTGAGAAGGCGAGGGTCCTTCCAGAGGAAAATTCTAGATCACATGCTCAATGAGCTTCGAGTCCCACCAAGCATCTTGAACCCCAAAAATCCGGTTGAATTCTAAAAACCATTCAAGCCTTCCAAATCTGCTCGAATTCAGAAAACACATACGAGTTCTGGAAAAGTAGTACGAAGAGCCTTGGTTCAAAGTTTTATGATACGAATGGCTCTCAAGGTATTGTACGTGTTGGACGTTTTGGAAGTAATGGATGGAATGGTTTTTTAGTGATGAGAGGGGCCTTGGAAGTCATGAAAGATCTTGGGTTCAGGCCTTCCAGAAGATCCTCGACCCATGGCAGTACATGAGCCCGGAGGACAGGATGAAGCCATGGATTTGGCAGTACTTGAACCCATGGATTCTGTACAATTACTAAATTATACGTTAAAACCCTTTGGCCCCTTGGATTTGGTATGATTTGGTCAACATGAAGCCACGCATCTGTAGAACTTATTCACAAACCCACTTGCACACACAAAAGAAAGGATGTAGTCTTTCCCCTGATAGCTGCAGGCTATAGGGCTCTAACTTCTCAATGGTGTGGCTCTGGATCGGCGTTTTGGTTTTGCAGGTGCTGCTGCCGCGCTGATGTTGGCGCAAGCGCTGGCTCTGGATCGGCGTTTGGTTTTGCAGGCGCTGCTGCCGCGCTGATGCTGGAGCAAGTGCTGGCTCTGGATCGGCGTTTGGTTTTGCAGGTGCTGCTGCCGCGCTGATGCTGGAGCAGGTGCTGGCTCTGGTGCTGCTGCCGCGCTGATGCTGGAGCAGGTGCTGGCTCTGGTGCTGCTGCCGCGCTGATGCTGGAGCAGGTGCTGGCTCTGGATCGGCATTTTGGTTTTGCAGGCGCTGCTGCCGTGCTGACGCAGGCGCAGGTGCTGGCGCTGGCTCTGAATCGGTGTTTTGGCCCAGATAGTTTATAAGGGGCTCTTGCTTCTCAATGGTGTGGCTCTGGATCGGCGCTGGTCCAGGGATGACATCATGCCATGCCAGGTGACATGATTTCAGTGACCCGTTCGTTCAGTTTGGTCTCGGTGGACCTTAGTGGGGCAGGTTGATCCTGCGCGGTTCCACGGGGATCGCTGATTCCGAGCAGACTGGAGATGGTGTTTTAGCCAGTTTTGGGCCAAAAGCGCAGGAGGCTATTTGAAAAAGACTTTGAACTACCTACTACCCCGGGGTCTTGTTGGGCTCCTTGATCTATTTCTCTGTAGCTCACCGGTGTCGTGACCGGCTCCCTCCTTGTCGATGACCCGACCCTTCATGCTCGTCCACGCTCTCAACCGGATCCCCTCCATCTCTGCCGCCTGGATCCCCTCCGTTTCGACAGTCTGGCTTCTATGCAGTGTTCAGAGGGGAGGGCCACTCCGAGGTTGGCTGGAGCACCTTGTCCCAGAAAGTGATGCACTTGAACTCACGCTTTCGCGTCCACCACCCTCGGTCCGGATTTTGGGGTCCGAGTCGAGTCGAGCGCTTCGAGGCCATGAGAACGTTCAGAAGTTCAGGGAGTCCAGGGAGGGAGTGGACATCCAGGAGGTTCCACCGAAACAACATGAGACCAACATGAGACCAACGGAGACCAAGGGTCCTAGAGGTCGGACCGTCGGTTCGGTGAGGCAAGGGCGGATCCAAGAGCAAGGGAAAGGCCTGAGCCTCGGGGTTGGGCTCAAGAGACACCGGCGTGTGGCATCACCAGGAAATAACCCTGGCAGGTTCAAACAACCAAAGCTGCAATGTAGAGCCGGTACGATCCCAAGAACTATACTGATTCATTATCAGTGTGGATGGAGAAAAGGGAGAACATAATACTAAATGGAATAGTATTTTGTCTTCATTGTGGAGGGAGAAAGGGTGAACAGGGAGAGCAGAATACAATTGCCGTTTAAGCAACCTTTTTCCGAACCCAATCACTATGAGTTGGCTAAACTTTTGTTACTTCTATGTGTTCATTCCTTTATAAGGGCTGGTTGTGAATTAAACTATGCCTATCGTACATCCCCCATGATTTGGTAGATCTATTCATTTATAGGCTACTGGCGATTTGCTATAGGCCATTATTAACAGACCATGCCATGACCAAATTTAAGCACACAAAACACAGAGGTTGGACAAACCCATTTTATAAACCTCTCACCTGGCAAAAGTCTATCGTATTTGTGCACGCCCTCCCACAAGACCCATCATGTTATAAACCGCTGACCCTGCCAAGGCCCATCGTATTTGCGCACGCCCTCCACAACAACTCCGAGGGCAAGTTCTCTGAAGTAAGATAGGTTCATATAGGTTCACAAAATTCAGATGTTGAATGATGTTGATGTCCTCCCAAATGCAGTAGATGGCTTCTTAAGCTTAAGCCATCAATCCAATTCCCAAGCTTTCGCGCGAAAAAGACGTCTCGGCTCGTCTCTTCGTCTTCGTTTCTTTGCGAAGCCCATGGGCCTTATGGATTGCCTAGCGGTCGAAGATTTCCCGTTTTGCGTCTCCGTTGGGCTCCGTCTCGCAGTGCCGATAAAAGGACGTACCATGGAAAGGAGTCTGTGGGTTTTCTGACATTTATCCTCCCAGACTCAGTAAAACATCAGCACCACGCTTGAACAGGGGATTGGCAAGTGTCCGTACCAAGGGTAAGAACACGTCCCCACCAGCAGACTCAGTTTGTAGAGGATTTGTTTTTTCCCCAAACAGTGTGTGACACGCCACAGGGCAACGATGTCCTCTTGTCCCTCTCTTGTCCTCCTCTTGTCCAACTCCAGCCCTCCTTTTGTCCTGGTCTTGTCCTTCCCTTGCCCTCTAACTGTCATCCTCTTGTCCTTCTGTCCTCCTCTTGTTTTCCTCTTGTCCTCCTCTTGTCCTTCTCTTGTCCTCCTCTTGTCCTGATGTTGTCCTCTGGCCACCCTGAAACTGTCTGGGGTCTATGCTGGCATAAATCCACTTACTTCTATCCCCTCTTTCAATTGATTATTGGTCATTACAACAAGGACACTTGGCATGACCAGCAGCGTATCTGTTTCAGATTTTCGTCCTTCCATTTGTTTGCTGAGGCCACACTAGATTCCACTCCTCGTGAGAAGGACTTCAAGACCCGCTTGTCCCTATTCAGGTCTAGCCTTGAACCCTCGTCACGCCTGTGAGTGAAGTGAGGTGAGGTGAGCTGAGGTGAGCTGAGGTGAGGTGAGGTGAAGTGAAGCGAAGCGAAGCGAAGGGAAGGGAAGTGAAGTGAAGTGAAAGGAAGTGAAGTGAAGCGAAGCGAAGCGAACTGCATGGAAGGTCTCTAGGATGGTGCTTGCGGTGGTGGCGTCATGGGGTGTCCACTGCCGACCTAGTGGTTCGTGATGGACATTGCGAAGCGAAGCGACGTGAAGGGAAGGTAAGGTGAAGTGAAGGTAAGGTGAAGTGAAGGTAAGGTGAAGTGAAGGGAAGGGAAGGGGAGTGGAGTGTGGAGTGTGGTGTGGAGTGTGGCGTGGCGTGTGGCGTGGTGTGGAGTGTAGCGTGGAGCGTGGCGTGGAATGTGGTGTGTGGTGTGGGGTGTGGTGTGGGGTGGAGCGGAGCGGAGCGGAGTTCAACATAATTGGTATCTCACAAACCTCAAACAACATACAGCACAAGTCGCCTTCCAATCCCTTGTCGCTCACCGTGTTTCTCTTGGCACGCAACAGCAGCAGAAAGAGCACGCACAAAAGCGGCAAGAAAGACAAGGACGATTGCCTCGATTGGGTCCTGATGTAGCTGAATCAGACAAGCCCTCTCTTGACCAAATTCAGTCCCGCCGAGGTTTATCACCTTGGAGGACGGAGGTTCAGAGGAAGCCCGTCAAACTGTTTTTGTTTCTTCATTTCTTCAGTCTGTCTAGGAAGTCGAACTTAGTCGCCCATGCGGCTGCCGCAGTCACGCGCGCATATACAGACAGGCGGTTGCATGTCGGAATTGATCTAAAGGTCCTTGGTTGATTGCTTGTAAAGACTCGGTTTTCTGTTGTTAAAAAACCTTTCCATGAGAAATCCTCAACCCCTTAGAAAGGAGTCCAGCTAAACATTGATGCTAGAAGAAATTGCATGGGCATCGGCCCCAGATAGCAACTAACTCTAAAAGTAAAAGCGCCTGGTACAAAAATCAAACAAACCCCCAAAAAAATATAAAGAAAAACATGAGGCCTCCCAGTGACCGTGAGTGCATCGCCGTTTGGCTCCACACAAGCACACAAGTGGGAAAACAACTAAAGAGAGGAGTGAAGAGAAGAACATGGGGAGACCAATTGGGCAGACAAGGAGGGAGACAAGTAAGGAGACAAGGCAGCAGCGGCAGACAAAATGCCGGTCCGAAAGGCAGGCAAGTGTGAGGGAAGCAACGAGACAAGGCGGCAGTGGCAAAGAAAACAGACAGAGGTGGAGCAAAATGCCGATCAGCCACCCAGTCATTGAAAAGTAAGGATTCCTGTGCTTAGTGCTTTCAGCTGTCTGTGGAGAAACATATTGCAAGCCAGTGGATGTCACCAACCCAGTGAACTTGGCGAAGCCGTTTGATAGTGGGAAAATAGATGCAGCGGCAAAAGTGAAATCCTTTTTCTGCGGCAGCAGTTCCCCTGCATGCCCCCAAAATCAAACAGCAAAACATTCGGCAGCTGACTGGCCGCTTTGGCGCTGTGAGAAACGGGCCCTTAGTTCGCTCGCCTGCAAGAGGTGACCGTCAAACATGTTAGAACAGCCATCCCTGGACTGGGTTATATATATGATATGTTCAATCCCACTTGACAACTGCAAGTCTGACCCAGATTTGCACACATGTTGGTGCGTGGCAGAACAACCTTGCAATTTCAGGCTGACACGCGTCGCTCGATGTTCCGAACTGAACAAGTTTTTTGAGAAGTTCATCCACCGAAGATGTCGCCACATAAGATGGCTCGCAGCTGAGGAAGTGGCCCTGAAGGGTGTGAGTTACGCAGCTAGGCCAAGAGTGGGGGCAGCCAGACCCAAAGGGCCCAAAGGGGAAAGAGAGGATTTTTCGAAAGGTCACAGGGCCACCATCCTGGAAGTTGGACAACCGCGCCTGACCAAATTTTCCAAAGCATGGGCGATGTGAGAACTGTTGGTTCAGTTGTGGTCGTTTTTTTCACAACATGTGTTTTACAAGAAGTTGTCGGAGACCGGCACACTGAACATTCGCTTCAAACCTCAGGGGAAACTGGCTGACTGCGATTTCGAAAGGTCGACGGCCGCAGCGTGCAGACTTGGTCGGCACATCGCTGGCAAAAGCACTCCTTCGCGGGGGTTCAGTGGGAAGACTACAAAATCCCCCAACGTTGTCCACGAGGATGCTTTCAGTTTCCTTGAAATGATGTGGATTGACGTTTCCGTGCAAAAGCCTGGTTTTTGTTGGAAAGACGCCCCGTTTGCGGGTTTGGCGACTGCAATTTACAAGACGAAGGTGGTGAAAGTGTGTGCTAAACCTCAAAGATGAAGGACGGACAGGTGGAAGGTAAGGAAATGGAAAAGATGCGAATATGAATGAATTCGTTTCAAGGGTCCTGTCCGTTTTGAATTGTTGTGGAATCAGGGTGGAGTTACATAAGTCTTCATGGCAACCCGGACGGGAAGTCATGTGAATTCCTCTTCGCATCACATGATTTGGTCGGGCATGCTGTCACCATGAGACACTCCGTGAGATGTTTGGAAGAGTGTGCACCACATCGGCACTGCAGTTGCCTTCAGTGCTCAAATGTCTTCACACTTTCATCCACTCCGTTCACGTCGAACGGGTGAAGCTTGTACATTCAAGCATGCCACGCTCCGATGCATCTTTGGGGGGCTCAACACCGATCTCTGCTGGAGCCCTCCACCTCACCGCAACGGCTCCCTTCGTAGTCTCCGCGCGCCGCGCCACGGCTCCGAGGACTCCGTCGAGGCCTCGACCTCGACGCAGCTGGAGCTGCTGCGGAGCCAACTGGCCGAGGCCGTCGCGGGCGCCACAGGCACGGACCGCTCCGATGTCAACGGCCTCGGAGGGAAACGGCCTCGTCCAGCTGATGCCTTTCAACTCCTCTGCCTTGAACCAGAGTTGAAAGGCATCAGCTGGAGCTTCATTGTGTGGGTCACGAAGGTCACCGGCAGGACTGGGAGATCCAGTCGGTTCTGGGTGGAACTGCACTGATGCTTGGTCTCAACGACCGGAACAGACCACCGAATCAATCGGGTTCAGCAGATTGGCCTGAAACCCGGATCTCCAAATCGCTCGGCCAGGTGCTCGGGCCTCGACGATTTGGGATCACTCCGGCCACACCCGGAAGGCCGGCGGCCGGGCGGAACAAGCCGCTCGAAGACGGAGAGCCTCTTTTTTTAGTGGGGATGGACAGTTGGTTCTCAGTGGTTCGGTGTGTTTTTACGTATTCCGTTCATCCCAAAGGCTTGGCAAAGGCACTGTAACACATCGAATGCATGATGTCCTGCTTGATTTTCTGGGGCCCATAACACTATAGATGATGCCACGAACACAGATAAACTTTGCCTTTGCTTGAGATGAACTGACAAACCAAAAGTCCTTGGTGGGCAAGACCCCAAAGCAAGTCCCCAAAGCTGTGGAAATCCGCCGATGGCAACTGACAGATAGGCTGCGAGACAAGGATGACCAGTTCGACTGGTTGGGCTGCCAAGTGAACCCATTAAGCGACTCATAGCCGGACGGCATAGAGAAGGATTGCAGGAGTAAAGCGAGGATAAAACCTAAGTTGGACATAGTTGGACAATAGACACTTTTGAAACTCCCATTTGTCCTCTAATATGTTTCCATGATCGAACCGCTGCTTGAAGACATGGAGTTCTCCTTAAACTGGACAGGCTCCGCCGCTTCGCTGAAACCTTCAAGTCTCAGTCGAGTTGTTTCTGTCGACCGGCTCCGTCTCGCAAAACTCCCGCGAAGCGGGCGAAGAAAGCCCCAGAAAGCTCCTCTCGATGTTCGGCCAGTGGCCAGTGGTCGCCAGATGTTGGGTCGACATTTTGATGAGCTGTGTAGGCTTCGCATGGCTTTGCTTGTTTATGGAGTGAAGCCAGAATAGGCACTGCCACCCCAACAAAGAAGTGCCCCAAGCACCCAAATATCTAGGATATGGTGCAGTCGGACGCCGCAACTCATTTTTCCGCCAAGGATGTCATTGACATAGGCTAACCTTTTCATTCGTTCAGGCCGCCTGATGTCAAGAGTCACGTTGCAGACCAAACATGCCTCTTCAGGAAACCTTTCTTTAAAGTTATATCGGTTCACCGGCGGTTCACCTCCCAAAGTTCCTGATGCCGAAGATAGCAGTCGGTGTGTTGGATCTCCTTCAACACCGGGTGCCTCACATCGTGCAGTTGTTGCAGCTTGGGTCATCTCCATTTGTTTCTTGTTGATCCACAAGGATGGCGCTTATTATTGGCGGCATCTATCCTTTACCGCTACTTCTGTCAGAAATACAATCAATGCCGTTACTCGTAATCATCCTTGTTGAATCTACCCCTTCACCATCGACAGTCACCCATGTTGTCAAGACCGTTGTTGGTCGAAGTGAAATGTTGATCCAAGCTCGTTCCATTAACCTAATGGCGTTCAACTCCGAACCTGCTAGCAGAGAATCAGACAGATTGCGCCATGGAGGTCCTTCCCCAAAACCTAAAGACGGAACATCACCCAAGGGGAAACGGAAAGGCTCCAGCACGCTAAGCCCATGGGCTTCATGTGGCTCCAGTGTCGTAAGAAAGTAGATTTGCACCGCCGGCTTCGTGGATTAAAAAGAACGCTGGTAGGATCATGTAGGACCCCAGGAGCTGCGTATGACTTCAGGAACTGCCGCAGTTCCAAAAACCAAAAGGCAGTTCCTGGAGGCCGCTGCGTTCGGGTCTCCGCGTGTTCCGCGGAACCCGCGGAGCCCGTCGACCGCACAGCCCGCGACCGCTTCGACGGCTTCACGGATCGGCGCGCAGGTCGATTTGAAGCCTGGCTCCTTCGGGGAGGACGGTCCGGGCGACCCTCGTGGCGGTGCGGCCGGACGTTTCGGTGGTGGTGCGGCTGCAGCAGATCGGTCGCCGACTGGCGGCGCAGCTTGTTGAGTTGGGGCGCCTTGAAGAGGACCAGGTCTTATCACCGGAGCTTGCCAGAGGTTGTGGACACCAGCGGGGAGAACCAGTTCTTTGGTGTCGAGATGCCCTCTACGTACGATGAGGAACGTACCACCACTGTGAATTTGTATGTATGTCTCACGGTGAAACGCTGTGAGTTTCTGTGAAACGCGATTGTCAAATCAACGGGACATGTGTTCTGAATACCTGAGTTGAAGCCAGATCTCTTAGCCGCACCGTTGATCAGATCTCTTCCTGCAGTGCATACGTGGTGCAGTTGTTTGGTTTCCTTTGCAACCAGTCCGAGGCTCATGTAGCAATGCCGTTTTGGTTGTGGTCCTCGGTTCAGTGGTCGGGTGCGCACCAAAAACCACAGCGTTTGCTGCTCAAATACGGTGGTTCTTTTCGATTTGTTTGTGCCATGTTATTTGGGGCAGGTGGCAACCTTCCCCTTCAGTGCGATCGTATTTGGGCTTGTCACGAGGTGGACATGGGCTCCAAACAGTTCGTTTCGCCAACGGTGAAGAGTTTTAAGGGAAGAGTTCCCACTGATGAGTTCCCACGGACGGAATTTCGGTGGTGAGACTTTGAGTCACGGTCCGTGTCACCCAACCGCGGAGTCGCACGGTGACGGTGCACGTCCGAGCCCGTCCGAGCACGTGACGGTCAGGAGCTTCGAGTGGAGTTCAACATGGAAAGACCGAGGAGGGACGTCGATGCGTCGGGAGGGCAGGACCGGTCTTCAACGACTCGGACGCACACCCGGGACGCGCCCCACACGCGGACTGTGCGTTCATTTGCAGGTGATGTTCCTCCCCCCCCGGGCAGCAAGTCCGGCAAGTGTGCCCCGCAGTCAAGAGCTGCGTGCACGCGGAGTACGTATCGAACACGCAGCCGAACAGCTTGAGCCACGTACCACGCACACACCATTGATGAAACAGATCTTACCCTGGTGATTCCAATAGGTCCGTAGCTGTGCTTTTTACAACACCTGATCTTGCACCCCACAAAGAAGACTAAAGAGTTATTTCATGTCCATGATGGGGAAGGTGCACAGATGGCATCAAGCAACCGGAATCAAGCAACTAAGTTTAACAAAAAGTAATACACATCCCAGTTGAAAGTGCTCTTTTCTCCACTCCGGCGGAGTGCCAGAGAGTTTGTTGGGTCGGGAAAGACGAGTCCTGTCCGTGCGCAGGGGAGGCCGAACCAATGGATGAGTCAGCCGTCCGTTTTTCGGTGTCGTTTGTACGGTATGGGGTTGATTTGCTTCCCCCTAGCCCTATAGTAGCCCTATAGTAGCCCTATAGTAGCCCTAGCTGGCTGGCGAAGTAGACCCTATGACATGTCAGACGAGCTGCCAGGAGTAGCGACGAGCTCACGCGCAGCCTGGGCTCCCACGAGCTGCAGGAGCCGTGGAGCCGTGTCGCCCTTCGATTGATGGTCGAATTCCAAGTCCAAGAAGCTGGGAATTGGACCCTTCTTTAGAAGTAAAGGGTTCAAAAGAAGACTTCCAATTTAAGTGAATCCCTTTGACTGCCCATAAAAGATCGGAATCATAGGGTGCGGAGGAGAACCTCCCGAAAGCGTGTCATTCTTCATCCAATCTCAGCACCCCAGCCCCGCCCTCTCCACAGGAGTCCATGCGCAAAGCCGTCTACGCGCTCTCGCCTGAGAGCATCACAGGCTGGGCGTACCACTGGGCCACGCCCCACGCCCGGGCGAAAAGCCATTTACGTTTCAGTGGTTTGATGGCACAAGTTACCCCAAGTTAGGTGGATTATATGTGGACCCCCATCTAAAGAAAAGACCCTGTTGGGGGTTGTGCCATCTCTGAAACCACTGTAAAGGGAAAAAGTTGACTATCAAGGCGGTCATGAGTGTCTCAGTCTCCCCCTTGATTTAGTACACGCCGTGGCCACATGCCTATCCATGCATCAATGTCTATCCAAATCTCCCCGGCCAGTTCTCTCGACGTGTCGCCCTTCCAAAACACAACTAAAGCCACTGCGCATGGCCTGCCAAGGTGTCAAAACTCCAGCACTGAAGCCACTCAGTGAACCTCTCCCCTGTTCACTACCAATCCAGCACTAGAAAGACCTGTTATTAAGTCACACGTCCGTCACGGCCAGCTCGATGTCCAAGCCATTCCAACAACCCCAATCATTGGGAACATGTGACCCCCTGTCCACACCTTTCAACCCCCCCCAAAATGACCATACAGCAAGGAGCTACTAGGGGCTCCTGGCCTTACTACTAGTAACAAGAAGCTACTA